GGGAGGTCGTCGGTGGCAGAAGGCGGTCTCAAAGATAACTAGGTCCTATGCCATGGAGCGCTTTAAAGGTGGTAACCAACACCTTGAAGCGCACCCAGAAGACCACTGGGAGCCATGTCCCAGAATAGGGTCAAGCCAATGGACCATTGGACAATGCAGCCATGCTTTCTACAAGACAAATTGGCCTGAGACAGAAAAATGGAGCCCTTTTCCCACTATTGCAAAGGAAAAACTGGTTCTCAAATATAATAATGCCAAAGATGTTTCATTTTCTCCAAAAGGCTTGTCATCTGCTATCTCTCCTGGAAAACCAACAGTTTTAGTATCAACGAAATTAAGGTATTTGAATATCTGGGCTTTTTTTTTTTTTTTATCCATTGGTTTTCCAGAAGAGACAACGAAGGGCTGTCATTAGTCAGGCCCAAAAATTCTCAAATATTATCCTATAATATGCTAACTGCAGTGGTAATAACTTGCCAGCTGCAAGAGAAAATATTTAGAATTAGGGTAATCAGCCACCTGGTATGCAGAACACAGATTTGCGATTATCATGATTTAAGTTCTGTTCAAGCTGTCTTTCTACAACACAGTTGCAAGTTTCCCAAAGTGTATTTAATTCTCTTTTTGTGACTAATCAGGACCAAGCTTTGTCAAAATTCATATGCAGTTTTGCCACCTGAATTTTTGGTTCAAATTAATTTTCACTGGAAGCTCCTAAGCCTCCCTGACTTTACAGGAAAACTTACAGGAAATTTTTCAGTTATCCTGGAAGCTAAGCATTGGTCTAGATTTTAAAATTCTTTGGATTAACTTTTCTCACCTGACCTCACTTGTTCTGATAGAGCTTGATTAGAGTTGAAGAAAAGAGTCTTTGCAACAATATTCAGTATGGCCTAAGTAGAACCACTGTAAAAGGGAGATCTGTTTGAAAAGTTCTCCTCCTCTCCTAATATTCTTTGGCTAACTCACATGAGAGTCTTTGCTCTCAAATCAATTTAAAGTTTTGCAATGCTTACTCCTGGAAGGGAATTTGCCCTGTCTGCTGGGGGAATAGAATCATTTGGTTTTGCACTCTGTTTTTTCTGGAGCTTGGTGAGCTGATCTAATAAAGCTTCTGCTAACTCACAGTTATGGTAGCTTTGAGGATGAGAGCATTCTCCTTAGACCAGCCATTTGAGGCCTCCAGAAGGGTCACCAAATTAATTAAGCAATTTGATGCTTAATAGTGCAACAACGGTTAATTTTACTTACAGCTTTAGATTTTAATACATTTCTTTAATGTTTAAGATTTAGCTTACTATGTATTTTGCCCCTTGTTTGGGGTCAATACAATTTAAAATTAAAACTGATTTTATAGCTGTAATAATTTAGCCTGGTTCATAATCTGGTAAACCATGGTTAGGTTAATGGTTAAAAAAACACAAGTGGCTTTATACAAAATGTTAGGTCAGAGATTATATTTTACAAATTACAAAGGCTGGTTTTCACACAACATTCTGAACCAAGTCAAACCATATTAGGTTAATAAACCAACCAATGTAAGATACACTGTACAAAATCCATCTGAACAATGATTTTTGGAAGGCTGTCTAATGCTATATATTTACATATACATTCACATATGTTTAGGAATGCATATTCACTTATATTTTCATATACATATTAGAATTGCATGGACTTTCTGTACATAACACAAATGCAGAAAAAAAGCTTCCATAAAAACCATATATAGATATAGTATCCTTTGTCTCAATGACAGTGTGCACAACACATTGTTTTAAAATAGAAGCAAAAAGACAGATTCAACATTATTTGCCAATGGGGGTTTAAATATAAAAGATGCACCAGTATGTACTGTAATATATTACTGTGAAGAGTATGATTCCTAAGATCGGCCACAACAACTTCTGTATTTAATGTTTTCTTTTTTTCACAACCATCAACTTGGGAAAGCTTAACTTATCTACCAGCCGTACCTTCTGGAAATTTAGGAAAAGGGTTAAATTTGTAGCACGTTTTCATATACATCTTTACATTGAATTGGAGAATGAATAAGTATGCAGGTGTAATGAACCTTAATTTTCAACTTTTTACCACTATCCATGTGAGCAAAATAGATTTGGAATCCACAGCTATCTGAAGGGATAAATATATTTCTTACCCATTGTTTAGTGTTTCTTTTTTGCCAAGCATTCATTTTAATTCAAGGAAGCACTTTCCTGTGAATTTTCACACAATCTAAGAGGGGGAGAGTGCAGAAATAATGTTCCTGTCTCAGCAGCTGGGCAATAACAACTTCCCTAATTCTCTTTGTTTCAATGAAATGTATTACTAAAAATGTATTTAGGATCCTTGCTTGATAAAACCTTAAATTAATCATCCTGTACAGACCCAGTGAAACAAAACCATATCCTCAGATGATAAAAACTGCTAATTGCAAGGATCAAGGGCTCAAATAAGAAATCTTTATTTCCAGCTCATTTATCTATCTGATACTTGGCTTTCTTTACAATGGGTTTCTTTTTTTTCCCCAGTGGTCTCCAAACGTATTGAGATATCTCAGCAGTATCTGTTGATATTCTGCTCTTAATTACATTTCATTTAAAGTCTGTTCCTATTGATAGAACAATGACAGGAGTATCATTTTCTTTTCCAAGAGCATAAAAATACTTCTAAAATATATTATTATATTTAGATTAAGCAAGTTGTCATATAAAAGTCACACAAGGTACATTTAATAATTATCTATTTTTTAAATTGTAGGAATCCAAGATATAAAATGAACTGAAGCAAAAAATAGAGGACTACTCTATTTTTATAAATTTAATATCCATGAAGTCAACCACGAAGTATGCATGATGATACAAGGGTTGTAACTTCTGCTTCAAGCTGTTAAAATAAATGGGAATACTTTTATTGTGTGTAAGATTGACCCCCTGAATTCTCTCATTAAATATTGGACAGACAAAAGACCCTCTACTGCAGGGTATCTATACAATCTAATATTGTGCAAGTCTAGATGGGCCTTTTCCAGAACCCACTTTAATAGCAATAGCAATAGCACTTAGACTTATATATCACTTCACAGTGCTTTATAGCCCTCTGTAAGTGGTTTACAGAGTCAACATATTACCCCCAACAATCTAGGTCCTCATTTTACCGGTCTCAGAAAGCTGAGTCAATCTTGAGCTTGTGAGATTTGATCTGCCAAATTGCAGGCAGTCGGCAGTCAGCATAACTAGCCTGCAGTACTGTATTCTAACCACTGCACCACCGCAGCTCTAATGCCCCCCTATCAGCTCTACTGGTGGGAAGATTTCATGGGATTCCTTGTTTACAGAGACTTTGCCCTTGTGGATCCAGAGAGGCAGAAATGCTCATTCATACGGTGTCCTTTTCATGATGCCCCAAAACATGTTCTGATCACAAATTTTCTATTTATTATTTTTTAAGGTGTGCTAACCACATGTTCACAAATCAGATGGTGAAATATTTTTACCAAGCTATACAACTTTTAATTAGACTTGTTGTTTTATTGTCCTATGTTTTAACTTTCCCAACAACAAATTGTTGGGTCAAACGCTCTCTTTAATGTAAAGGCTGGTCAAAGACTGTAATAAAAAGGTTTGATTTGATCTGATATGGGGGAGGTTATTATATCATCACAAAGGAAAAGAAACTTTTAGTTGTTTTGGCCCGCCAGCGGCCAGCAGAGCTGGCAGCAGATTCGGACAGTGAGGAGGTTGGGGAGAAACATGGGCCAGTCCTGGAGTCTGGGGAATGCTTGGACGAGGACTCTGAGTAGGAGGCAGAGAGGGGGCCAAGCATCTGGTAGTTCTTTGCTGCCTCCGGAGCCTCTGGAGTCTGACATCAGCGAGGCAGAAGAACAGCAGGAGCCTGTTTCCAGTATGTGCATGCACAAAGCTGCCAGAAGACAAGAACAATTAAGAAAACAGGGTCGATTTGGGAGTAAGGCATGGCGATGATTGGCCCCTTCCATAAGACATAAAAGAGGAGCGAACGGGACATGAGCTTTTGCAGGAAGCAATTAGTTCATCTGGTCGGTTAAAGCTTTGCAAAGTTCTGTTTGACTCTGTGCTAAGTTTGGCCTTGCCCTGCATGTGGCAATTAGTTCTCTGACAGCATTCAAAGGGAGATAAGGTGGGTGTTTATAAACATTCCCTTGAAAGACTGTTTGAGAAGTCTTTCAGACTGTGAATGACAATAATTCACAGCCATATGAATAAAAGAGGTTTGCTGGGACTAAGATTGTGCAGTATACTTTCTAAGGAAGCCTAGGTCAGAACATTAGTATTGCTTTTATGATTTTTGGTACTGCCAGCATAAATGAGTTTAAAGGCAAGAAACCTATCTGATACAGGTCTCTAGAAGGTACCAGGTCCCTGGTCATTCTCTGGCAATCCAATAAACTTGTTCAGCTCCTATTTTGTTCATTGTAAGGACTATCATCTACTTCTGAAAGAACACTACTTTGAATACTAGCCCATCCCTTAATTTAAAGAAGAAATTTAACTTCTTTTTTTCCTTGGCTGTGGCACTGATTATGTAAGTGAATCTGATCTGTTTCTCTTCTGATTGTTAATATGGTGCATTAAATGTTGAAGTTTTGTTTTTATGGTTACGATTTAGTATTTATGGTTTATCCACATGATGGTTTTTCTTGAGCTAAACTGTCTTGCATTAAATTTTTCTGAAAAGCAGCTAATAAATTATAGAATGCACATAATAAATAAAAACGGCAGATCAGTAAAACAAAAAGCAGGGTTATAGTCCTAGTGTTTTTCTCTGTTTGGCAGAGTGCCATGCAGACATAACAAACACATTTTGAAGACATTACATTCCTGCAACTCTGTTTAACAAGAGAAAACAATGATTCAGGAATCTGTTAAACAGAAACTTCATGTTTTGTGATTAGGTAATGTAAGGTCACCATAAAGCACTTTGATGCCATCAGGTATTTAGACAGGTTTCTTGCTTACCTGTGTTCCAACTCTCGTATCGACAGAATAACTCCAGAAGTTGATGCCTTCTGCTGTATGTTGGTCAAAAATGTGAATTCACTTTTGTTCCGGAAGAGCTGAATTAATTTCTCATTTGTGTGGGATGCTGCATGGATTTCTCTATCTACAGCTAAAAAGAATGATAAGAATAGTGAGGTAAGAGAAAAAGAGAGACATAGCACTAAACTTTTCACATTAGAAACCATTAAGGAATGGGCTGGCTCCTATTTCCATTCCCCGTGGTAATAATTTTTGTTCTGAGAAACCTGCCTCTTCTTTGCTAGTGCTGTACTTGGGTGCAATGTGAAAATAGAAAACATCCTCTTTATCAGTTTGTCGCCCTGACAAGTTCACAATCAGGCATCTTACTGATTTTCTGACAGAGTTTCTGACAGGAAATGATGAGCCATCCATGAGCAAGATTACATTGCTGATTCATGGGGTGTGCGGAAACAAGATAATAGGTTCCCAAATTTAGAGGGCCTGGCTGAAACCTGAGTCCCTGGCAAAGCTGAAATTTCAGTACTGTCTTGGTTTTTCTACTTTCCTATCAAAGTCAAACAATTTGCTCTGATGCGGATGCGTTGGCAGAGATCTATTATTGCTAGCAATGCTCCCTCAGCATCCTTACCCACCCACCCACTCCCACCATCCTGTCCATAGATTTAATACATTGTCATGGATGATATAGCTACAGGAGTGACAATTTATTTGGGGTCTTCTCTGTTTACACAAGCCAAGTATTGCTTTCATGCAGTATTTATTAGACTTCAGTGTGAAGTTTAGAGATGCACAGCATTCAGATCGCTTTTAACTTTTGGTCACATTACCTTTAGCCCTTTTGGGATGAGAAATAAAACAACAAAAATGAAAGCAGCAGATAATGATAGCCTCACTCGCTCACCTTTTTATTCATAGAATTTCATAGAATTGTAAAATCATACAATCACAGGGCTGGAAGAGACCTTGGAGGTTTTCTAAGTCCAACCACCTGCCTAAGGCAGGAGACCTATCAGGGGTGTCAAACTTGTGTCGTCATGGCGGCGTCACGTGACGTATCAGGACTTTTTTTCCCCCTTCGCTAAATCAGGCAGGGGCGGGGCCAGCACGTGACGCATCTGGCTCACAGGCCATGAGTTTGACAGCCCTGCCTTATATCATCTCAGACAAATGGCTGATATTTTCTTGAAAACCTCAAGCGATGGAGTACCCACAACTCCGGAAAACAATCGGTTCCATTGATTAATTGGTTTTAGTGCTTTTCATATCCTAGCTTTTTTTCTGGAAGCTATGTTAATTACATAGTAATTAGTAATTGTTAGTAATTACATAGTAACTACTAACAACAGTTAATTTAATGACTGTTCAAAGTTACAATGTTCCCTATGCCTTCCGTCTGGTAAACTCGCAAGATTTCGTTTTTCTTGCCATGTACATGTATATATCTGAACCAAACTGTGTTGTTTCTCTGTGTCATGTAATATATATGGATATATGCATAATTTTGTATTTATTTATTTATTTTGTCATATTTATGTAGTATATATTGACCCTTTGAGAGCTCCATGAGATGAAATTTCATTTTAATGTATGTCTATTACTGTACATTCAAAGTGACAATAAAGTTATTCTACGAAGTCTAAGTCACTGAAAAAAGTGACTTAGGACCATTTTTCACATTTATGACTATTGCAGCATCCCCATGGTAACATGATTAACATTCAGATGCTTGACTTTCTGGCAAGCAAAGTTAACAGGGAAACCAGATTCACTTAACAACGGTGGCAATAAAAGTCATAAAATGGGGCAAACTGACTTAACCAATGTTTCACTTAGCAACATAAATATTGGGCTAAATTGTGGTCATAACTGGAGGATTACCTGTACCACTCCTGAATTCCATTAATAGCTTCTTTCTTTTGTTTGTTTGTTTTCCCTTCAAGGCCAAAGAGTTCACTCTAATTCCATATGTTAAAAGAGTAACATTCCAGACCTACCATTTTGGTAAATCTTTCTGCTGGGGAAAATCTCATGCCAACAAAACAGAAAAGGGGGCAATTCTCTTTTTCTCCTGCAGCCCCATGTATGCTTTAAAAAAAAAAAAAAACCCCAACCTGCTCTTTGTAGTTGGGAAACTCAACAGCAGGTTGGAAGAAGAACAAAACAGAACAGATGAACAAGTCCCTGAGCAGCAGTGAAAATCTGTTCACGTAGTGTTGGATTTTGTCTCAGGGCAAGATCCCAAACTGAACAAAAGCCTACTTAACAACATTAACTGCACCTGGAACTTCCAAAGGGCAGGTGTGTTGCATATGTGTGTTTAAACAGCCTTCTTATAACACCAGAATATTCTAAAACAGCCAGATCATGGTAAGTACTCTAAGATATACAACGGTTTTTACTTAGTATATGTCTACACCATTTATACAATTACATCTCAAGGCAGCTTGTGAGATAAATAAAAATATTCAAAGACAGGTATTAAAGATATTTAAATTGATATAAAAAGTACATTAAAACGAAGAAAGAAAACAAGGGAAAAGAAACAATATTCACATATAGGGAGTCTGAATGGTGAGATTATTCCTCCACAGGCACCATAAAGATGTAATAATAAGCACTTTGTAGATTTTAGTGGGAGCAGATTAGAAGGCAATCTGTTCTATTTATTCTGGCCATAAATTGTTTAAAGCTTTATACATCAAAAGCAAAGCCAGGAAGGTATAGGAGTTAAGCTACTGAGCCAGGACTGGGGAGTTCCAAATTGATATCTACTTTCAACCATAAAAGCTCACTTGGTGATTTTTCAGACAGTCAGTCTCTCTTAGCCCTGCTTGCCTCACTTAATTGTGATAGTTGTAGGAAAAAAATGAAGGAGAAAATCCTGTACACTTGAGTTCCCCAGCAAATACACACACCTGGTGCTTCCGGACCAAGCATGTAAGTAGAATGCATTGTGGTAAATCAGCTGTGTACAAGCCAGGAATTAGCTTTCAATCTTTATATCATCAATTGCAACTCATATATGCCGTCCAACACTGTGGGTCAATCTGTAGGTCTTCCAAGGGTTTTAAATTTCTCAAGACACCCATAGGTGCTTTTTGAAGAGGCAACTGGACTTTCTGGTTTTTATTTGAAGAGGTTTCACTTCTCATCCAAAAAGCTTCTTCAGAGAAGAAGCTTCTTTGATGAGAAGTGAAATGTCTTCAAAGAAAAACCAGAAAGTCCAGTTGCCTCTTCAAAAAGCACCTTTGGGACAACCATGACCTGGATGACTGAGAATCTCCATAGCGAAGACACCCATAGTTTTCCACAATATATGATTATTATATATTGCAGAAACCATGAGTATCTTGAGAAATTCAGGAAACAGATTATAAGTATTCTTCATCTACCTGGACCCTTTTGTATGCAGGACATGTTTTTGCTTGAGGCCACTAACTGAATAGAAAGCAAAAAGATCAGAGCTCCAAGCCTCCTATTTGACCCCATACTGATTGCTGCAATAACTATTTTACGGAAGACATGCCTATACTTTTCCGAATGTGACATTAAACCATCAAATCAAGGCAGTCTCACCTTAGTTTCTCATATTTATCTATACAGTGTTTGCTTGATAGCTCTACCCATATAGCTCTTCATTGGGAATACAGGTTAAACTGGCATGTAGCAAAATGCAAATGTTTGAGCACAGGCCAAAGAAAGTTGGTAAAAAGAATATTAGATTCTTCACAGCATACAATTAACTTCTGCTTAACGATTTACATTCTTGTTTTCTTACAGAAATATAAAGAAAATATTAATAATAGCCAACATTCACTGATACAAATATTCAGTTATCCTTTTCCCCAAACGATAATCAGGTCTTGGTAAATTATCATTTCATGTCCCAAAGATTTGACTTCTCACGTTACTAAGATCAGTTTGGAGAGCATCAGCGTTATAAACTGACATTAAACAACTGAGCTCACTGCAAAGCATTGCATTATGGAATGTTGATATGCATATCACAAAAATGCTTTAGTGTCCTTGAAATCCAGAGAATTTAGAATTTTTCTTTCATAAGAAACCACAGTTTCCATTGAGAGTAAGAGTCACTACCTCAGTTTTCCATATTCAAGGGAAAGGAGAAAATATTACCCACCTTTCACAGACATTCTCTGCATTCTCATCAGAGAAAAAAGTGTTACAGATAATCCTCGATTTACAACCACAATTGACTCCAAAATTTCCAAGAGCTGCGGTAGCGCAGTGGTTCGAGTCCAATACTGCAGGCTGCTTCTGCTGCCTGCCGGCTACGGCGATCACATGAGCCCAGGAACTGCAACTATCATAAATAAATGCCAGGTGCCAATCATCTGAATTTTGATCATGTGACCATGGGGAAGCTGCAATGGTCACTAAGTGAAAAATAGTCGTAAGTTGCTTTTTTTAGTGCCCTTGTAACTTCAAATGGCCACTAAATGAATGGTTGTAAGCTGAGGTCTACCTGTATGACTCCAAAAACTGTTATTGGCTTACTTAATGGCATATAATATAAAATGTGTCTTCTCTATCATTCTGTGCATGTTTAAACTAAACTGGGACCAGGCATTCATTCTGCAATTAGTTGAGGTAATTCATAAAGAATGTTTGCTGGAGATATTTTTGTTTATTTGCTTGATTCCTTGCTTTAAAAAGTAAACTTTAAATAAGTGTAACTCAAAATGTTAATATTTTATAGAAATATAATTTGGTTCATCCTTTCATAATTGTATAATTTTTCCCTATGAATTTCATCCTTTGCTGTGACATGCAATAAAGTTGTGATCTCTTTACACAAAGGAACAAAGCTCAAAAACCTTGGCATTGATTTATATAAAATATAAATCATCATCTGCACCTCTATAACTGTCTGGTTTGGTTCTGCAACCCAACAAGACAGACACAGACTTCAGAGGATAATTAGAACTGCAGAAAAAAACAGTTACTACCAACCTGCCTTCCATTGAGGACCTGATTACTGCATGAGTCAAAAAGAGGGCTGTGAAAATATTTACACACCCCTCGCATCCTGGACATAAACTGTTTCAACTCCTACCCTCAAAATGACGCTATAGAGCACTGCACACCAGAACAACTAGACACAAG